ACGGCACTACAGCAGGGCCCATTTGAGCCTTTTGCAGGCGGTTGATTTGAAGATCCCTTCAATGAAGACTTTGCTCCTGCTAGCATTGGCCTCCATCAAGAGGGTAGGGGACCTGCACGCATTTTCGGTCAACGATTCGTGCCTAGAGTTCGGGCCGGCTGATTCCCAGGTAACCCTGAGGCCCCGGCCCGGCCCGGCCCGGCCCGGCCCGGCTACGTGCCCAAGGTTCCCGCTACTCCCTTCAGGGATCAGGTGGTGAACCTCCAAGCGCTGCCCTCGGAGGAGGCAGACCCAGCCCTAGCTTTGCTCTGTCCCGTCCGAGCCTTAAGGTGCTACGTAGACCGGACGCAAAGCTTCAGGACCTCAGACCAGCTCTTTGTCTGTCACGGAGGCCGGCAGAAGGGGAATGCCGTCTCGAAGCAGAGGATGGCCCACTGGATAGTGGATGCCATCACCCTGGCTTGTCAGGCACAGGGTGTGCCCTGCCCGCTCAGGTTGCGAGCTCACTCCACTAGAGGTGTTGCATCCTCCTGGGCGCTGGCTCGTGGCGCCTCGCTGACCGATATCTGTAGGGCTGCGGGCTGGGCGACCCCTAACACATTTGTTAGATTCTATAGCCTTCGTGTGGAGCCGGTATCCTCCTGTGTTTTCACCTCAAACGGGTAGAAGCACTGAGAGGCCCCGGCTTCGGGTCGGCTTGCAAAACCACTCCAGAGAGTCCATACAGCAGACCCTGTTGAGTTCCTCCGTCCCCTTGGCAGCCAGACGTGGTGGAGCGTCCGGCGCCAGGCCTTCACTCGCTGAATCCTCGAGAACCGGTAGAAGGCTGGGTTCCATATGTAAGACCTAAGTGGATCTCATATGTGTAAAGTCCACGGTATAGCCTTGAGCCCGTGTTTCCCCGGCAGACTTCTGCCATTCCAAGAGGTTTCAATCACCTCCATTCTTCCATATGCACCCAAGGAATGTTCATATGTGTATTGCTTCCGAAACCTCCTCCGGGAAGGTTCGAGCTTCCGTAATAACCCTGTTCCAAGTAGAGCGGGTACGTTTTCCCAGTGTTATCCAGTCTTACTCATTGGGTAGTGACATTGTGAAGAAGCCTCTTGTGAAGAAGCCCTGGCCTATGCCAAAAAATAGGGGTGCAGGTGGCTTCCACAGGACACTGGAAGGGGCAGTAGCTGTGGCCCTTTGGTAGGATCCCAATTTCGTCGGTCCTCCGACGTGACGTCGAGAGTGACCGACTGAAAGGGAACATCTCGGTTACGTATGTAACCCTCGTTCCCTGAAGGAGGGAACGGAGACGTCACGTCCCGTCGCCACAGCTCCTGTACCACCGCTGAGCGGCCGGGTCACCGGCTCGGCTCCTCAGCGAAAACCTGAATATGCGCTGCACCTGCTGCCTACTTATACTCACGCTGTGATCAGCAGCAGCTGGATGCAATAATCGCATGCCAATGTGCATTGGCTCGTTTAGTTTACACTCGAAGTAGATTGGTCCCTCTAAGCAAGGTCCCAATTTCGTCGGTCCTCCGACGTGACATCTCCGTTCCCTCCTTCAGGGAATGAGGGTTACATACGTAACCGAGACGATACCTAGCCTCACAAATTGTCAATGAAATGGTGCTAACTAGCTTACATTTAGCATATTTGATTTACTGTCTAGCTAGCTACTGTATAAATACATTTAGGTATTTGCTAGACTTTAATAGCATAAATCAAATGAGGGGTGTGCATTTGATTGAGGAATGTGCAGGGTAGAAATTAAGTTCCCTGTTATAGGCTAACATGCAATTTTACAAATGCCCAGTTTATTCCCATTAATGCACAGAATTTTGCAACCATATTTAGAAGAGAAGCATGGTCGGGGCAGTGGGCTGGTGTGGGGATGCGTCACTGTTTCAGGGCCTGGGCAACTTCAGTAATTGAGGGAAACATGAATTCTGCTCTTTACCAGAAAATCCTAAAGGAGAATGTCTGGTCTTCAGTCTATAAGTTGAAGCTCAAGCACAACTGGCTTAAACAGCAAGACATGAAACCATATTAGTTGGAATGTATGGGCCTAATCTGATTTAAATTAATTCGGATTGTAAGGGGTAGTTGAAACCTTTTCTATTCTACTTTATAGGACATGTAAACACTTGACTGGATTGAGAACTGAAACTGGAAAGTTCTTTGCATGTGCAATGACGTAAAAATACAATAAAAAAATAAACCTATTCATTTCATGGACTCAATATTGCAACCTAAAATGATTCCTAAATGTTTATACATCTCTATAGTTGTTAATTTGTAGAATGCTAACATTTAAGGTTATGTCAGTTTGTGAATAATCTGTGTTTCAGCATCTTGGCAAACATGCGAAAATGTATGTGTGCTAGAGCCACACTTCATACAAATGCCCCCAGTTACTAATAAGATGACATTGGTTTATTGTAACCTGCATTGGCCTTTACTGTCTAGACCCCTTGTTGTGCTTGTAACCATTCTGTAGTTTATATGGCAGTTACAAGGTAGTTATCCTGTCCAATATGTTGTGTCGTCTGAGTTGTATGCCCCTGCACTACTTCTCCAGCTCAGTTTATGCTTTTATTACCCTTTAAAATCAGGGCTTAGACAATTCTTCAAACTTGAATTTAAATATTTATCCTGTTTAATCATGTACTCTCTCTCACACACATACTTCTTATATTCTGTATCCTCAGGCAATCCTGACAATATTTGGCTCCCTCTAAGATATACAGGAAGCCAACACATGACAGAATAAAATTACAATCCATCATTGACAATGTAATGCCTGCTAGTCTCCACACACTTCACAGTCGGCACAGGAACAAGGGGAGTGACGTGCACCCATCAAAATGTGCTCTTTTGCAGAGATTGTCTCACCAAACAAACCTTCTGAAATTTTGGGAGCGCTCCAGTCCGTGCAAGAACAATAAAGTCAATAAAGTTGCGTGAAATGCACAAATCATACAGTCACAGTCTGTGGCTGTTTGTGATCCAGATTCTTAGACTTACTCGCAACTGTAGTTTAGAGTGACATTCAAATTGCTTTATTGCATTCGGTCTGACATGTCGAGGGAGAAACAATTCAGGAAATCAACACTCAGGGTACAAATTACTATCAGGTTTGAAACCGTATGAGTAACAACTGCAACAAAAAAGTCTGGTCTAATGGTCTAATAGAAAGAATGGTCTAATTTTGATCAATTAGTCAGGTTTGAACCTCTGGCATGGTATTGATCTTGGCGTATTGCTATATTGGTGCTGAGGTCCACATGACTGTTGTAGCAACATGGCATATAAATACCAGAGGTTGCTAATGTGATTAAAGTTGCATGTTTGATGTTTGTAAGGTGAACAACATAATTTTGTGAATGTCAGCTTGATGTAGGTATGAAATACATCATAGCTGATTTATAGCTATTATCATAGTTATATCATTGCTGATTTAAAGTTCAAAGAGGGCTAAGATGTAATGTTATATTATCTGAAGACTACCATTTACAGTACTGCCTCAAACAATATCTCAGTCTCAGCTATGCCTTTTTTCAATGCTGTTTGCTTATCATTTGTTGGTCAATCTAATGTTCAGTCTGTGCTTCGATTGCTAAATGATTCCCTGCAGTATGTTAGTTTCAGGAAGTAAAAATCCTGTTAATTTTCTCTGTTGGTGTAACGGGGCTGACAAGACGTGAGACGTGCGGATCCATTCGCAAAGCTTTATTTAAGCAGAAGACAGAGACGTGGTCATAACAGGCAGGGTCAAACTATGACAAACAGGTATATGGCGGGCAAAACACAAGAATAGTCCTAGGGCTAGCGCAGGTCAACGATCGTCAGACAGAATCAAAAAGGGGCAAGACTAAAGGGGCAAATCCAGGAAAACCGGCGAAGACCAGAAACCGAGAAAACAGGCCAGGCCAGGCCAGGCCAGGCCAGGCCAGGCCAGGCCAGGCTAGGCTAGGCTGCTAACGATGGCTCTGTAGTGTAGCTATCAACGGATAGGCGCTAAACAATACTCGGCAGAGGGAAGGGATCAGAGTGAGTGTTAAATAGTGAGGGAGTGATATGAAACAGTTGGGTGCAATCAGTGTTGTGCAATTAGTGAACCAGCTGTGTGCAATCAGTGCTGTGAATGATGGGATATGTAGTCCGGGAGATATGCAACAGTGTGAGTGCGAGAGTCAATGAAAATGGGAAGGGTGACCTCTGATGGTGAGCCGACGGAAGTTCATGGACCGATTCTTGACAGTTGGTCTGTTGATTTTAATGATAACATATTAATCTTTACAGCCAGACCTACTGTGAGCTATGGGGTTGTTAATATGTGGTATATGCTTTTATTGAAGCCATCAGCCTGCATTATTTCAGCTTATTTTTTTTAATAATAATGTTTAACAGTGAAATTCCTGGTGAAGGTCTATTGCCCATGATTCCACAGAGAAATTTCTCCACTGATTCGGGCTTTGAAACAAGCAAATTGCATGGAAAATAATAGAAACATTGTGCCAAAAGAACACTTTAGCACCCGTCCACTCCCATGAAGCACTACTATTTAAATATTATATAAAGTTAGTATATATAGGCTACTACTTTTTTGTCTTTTGTATTATAACATTGATTTGCTCTTTTTGATTCATACAAACACAACTGACGCCATCTTGCATCTTACAAATCTATTTGTTTTGAAAATGACCTACCATTGCTACTAATAATTGCTATATTGTTGCAGCTTTCATCTTGTTGCTTCACTGTTTTGTACATTGTAATGGACATTTTTTTTTTCCTAGAGGAGGATTGACATTAATATACAGGTCAAATTACAAAATAATTTAAATTGAAATCGAATCAAGATTTCAGCATGTCCATATATTTATTTATTTGGTGAATAGCCAGTGGTGAATCACTCAGCAGATGGACTTAAGCCCCATCCCTGCTCTGTGTAAATCATTAGCCATCAGCAAATGTTACT